TGGCCTGAGCTCCCAGCTCTTGGACCTGGCTGGACCCCAGCCTGGTGACAAGAGGCATTTGGGGACTGAACCAGTAGACAAGGGGATCTCTCTGCATCTTTTTTTGTTTCTCTGTATCTCAACCAAGTAGAAGCAACATAAAGAGGAGGCTGGCAACGTTTAGGGGAAGGAGGATGGAGGGATTACTGTCTCATGGGAATAGAATTTCAACTTTGCAAGATGAAGAAATTGGGGAGAGCTATTGTACAACAACACAATTGAACTTAAAAATTGTGAAGATGGTAAACTTGATGTCTAATGTTTTTATGTTAAAAATGCCTTCTAAAAATGGCAAATATGATACTCAATTAAGGAAATAAATAAAAGCGTTATTTGGGGGTGCCAAATCTGAGTGGTGGCTGGTTGGTGCGGAGTTTGAGCATTTCTGCAGTTCATTGAGTGTGTCCCACGCTGTAATGTTCACGTGGGGTCAGCTGGGACACTGCTCTCCCTCTGCATTCTGTCGAGGGAAAGTATTCACTCCAGAAGATGGGAGGGGTGTCACCCAGATGTGTTTGCTCTGCCTGTTGTCCCTTCTGACCAGGTTCAGTGGCTGGCTACCCCAGCAGGGACGAGGGCATGTCCATGGTGATGACCTGGCACAGCAGCCCTTGCCCTCTGCTCATCTCCCTCACTCCACAGAGCCTGCGTCAGCTGCACTATTTGCAGGGCTGCCCGCCACAACCCCACACTGCTTGCTGTTCTTTGATCTGTAAACCCCAGTCATGGCCAGCTAGGTTGGGTCAGGGGAAGTTGGGCCAGTATCTTAGAGCAACTATTTTGCTGCTTTGCACTTACTCCCTGGGCAGAAGGCTCATCTAGGATAATGATGCATCTCTGGCAGAGACAGCAGAGGGACAAAAGTTAAGAGCTTGCAAACGCTGGGAAAGGCCAGCCCCACCAAAGTGAGAAGGATAGAAGTGACAGCACCATGTAGGTACTGGTTTTTCTGTAACTTTGACAAAAGATTTTAGAAAACAATTGCCAGGGCTTGCTGTTACTGATTGAAAAGTTAATTAGCCTTTCTGAAGGCAGTATGTGTAAAGAGCTGTGCAAATGTTTGTTCTGGAATAGAATATTCTAGAATAGGTGTCAAAAGAAGATTCAACAAGGAATTTATTATAAGGTAAAAAGTGACGTGTAAAATTAGTGTGGAGGGGCTGGTGTCATGGCCTATCAGGTAAAACTGCCACTTGCAATGCTGTCATCCCTTATGGGTACTGGTTTGTGTGCCGGCTGCTCGGCCTCCCATCCTGCTCCCCAGTTATGCACCTGAGAAAGCAACAGAGGATGGCCCAGGAACTTGGGCTCCTGCCACTCACATGGGAGACCTGGAAGAAGTCCCTGGCTTCTGGCTTTGGCCTGACTCAGCGCTGGCTATTGCAGCAGTCTGGCGGGATGAATCAGCCTATAGGTGGTCACTGTCTCTGTCTCTCTCTAGCTCTCTGTAACTCTAACTTTCAACATAAAGAAATCTTTTAAAAATTAATATGGAGAGAGATTTCCATTTCTGGCAATATGGAAGTCAAGGTAACCTGTAGGACAAACTCACAACAATAAGCTCCAGGAATATCAGGTGGAACGTAACCAAACTTCTAGTTGAAACTCAAGGGTAAAAGAGAATGCCCTAGAGATCCAACCATGGGAAGGAAACTAGGCACAAAAGTGCCCTGACATCGCACGGTGTCCCCAGGGAATTAGCCACCCACAACCCCAGGCTGATGTTTTCTAGTTCAGCTGGGGGCGAGAGGTCAGGCTGGTGGACTGTGCTGAGCAGGGGAGCAGGGCCTGCATTTCCTGGAGCTGGAATGCTTGAGAATCTACATTGTTAGTGACAAATGAGACACCAGAAAACCTCCTCCCTTGGACAAAGTCCCACCCGTGCTTGAGCTCTTTGAATCGCCAAGAATGATCTTAAACTCCGAGACGCACTCTGCCTGACCCAACTTTATTCACACCCTGGGCTCTCTCTGGGCACATCTGTGCACCTTCTTGTAAAATCCAGTTTGAGCAAAGAATTCTGTCAAGTGTATTAATGGCCCTTGCCTCCACCTCCCGTGTGTCCCACTGATGGAGTTCCTCATCCTTCACCATCGGCTGATCAGCTTGGCCTGTCTTCAGCAGGGTTCCTGTTGGATGGGTTTAGCCAGAATCCTCCTTACTGCTAATGTTTCCCCTGCGTGGTGCTCAGGATCTGAGCTCTCAGAGGCAGCGGAGTTTATCCTAACTCTGAGTGTTTCAAGGCTCCCAGGAGCGATGGGATTCCTGTGCTGTGCTTTGGTTTTCTGTGGACTCCACCTGCCATCTTTTAAAAAATATGTTTATAATTTTATATAATATGTTTTTATGATGATGTTTATGTAGTTAAGGATACATACCCATGTACCCATGTGGACCACTCATTAGGGTGGGGAGGGTCTAGGAATGGGAGAGACTGGGTGAGACAACTGTTTCCAATCCTTTTTTTTTTTAAAAAATATCTGGGGAAATGGGGAGAGAAAGGGAGAGGGCTGCTTCCAGCAGCACAACTGCATCACCACTCTGGGATGAGGGACAAACACCTGATAGCATCTCAGGGTTCCTGATGTGGAGCATGTTCTGAGGGTACCGCTAAAGTGGTTTTCATAATTCTGAGATGCTGTTGATTTTGTTGCCCCATGGTTGAGGAACTCCTTCCAAGGTCCATTGGCTGACACAGTCCACCTTAGAGTCTCCAGTCACCCAGATACTCGCTGTCAAAGCTTGACTAGGAGAGCTGTCCGATTTGTTCTGTCCTAGACATGATATTAGACATCCTTTGCATGGCTTTGTGAACTGGTTGTCATGTACCCCATGTGTGTCTGGGCACAGCTTCAACAGCTGAGGAGACCCTGTTCTGACACATGTGCTTGGCAGTCAGAGCACAGATCCTGTAATTTTCTCCACAGATGGAGTTTTGAGTCCAGTGGTCCAGAGCCTGTCTGCCAGTGTGGCCCACGTCTGCCCCCTACATAGCTTTTTTTTTTTTTTAAGGCAACTGTGCTGGTACACTGATATAGTTAACACAAATTTGGCATTAACCAGACTCAGAGTGCCTGCCAGCTATTAGCTGCTTTTCTTCCAGCAGTGTAACTCTTGCCTAGATACAATCAACCTAGGCAGTTACCTAGAGCTGGGGTCCCCCTGCCATCTTAATTCATCCACTTACTCTACATAGAACGCAGAAGTCACGTGTGGAATAGGGCTGGATTTGCACAGGCCTTGGCTGCGTTGGAGACCCAGTACCAGTAAGGTGTTGGTTGAGTGGATGGATCTTCATTTACTGTAATAACTGCTCAATTTATTCTAGCTGGAATTCAACACTGTGGGATGTTAAAGAAGGGAGTCTGAGATGCAGGAAGTTAAAAAACAGGCTGCCACGGCGCGATAGTGTAGTGGTTAAAGTCCTCACCTTGAATGCGTTGGGATCCCATATGTGTGCAGGTTCTTATCCCGGCAGCCCCACTTCCCATCCAGCTCCCTGCCTGTGGCCTGGGAATGCAGTTGAGGATGGCCCAAAGCCTTGGGACCCTGCAACCGCATGGGAGACCTGGAGGAAGCTCCTGGCTTCAGATTGGCTCAGCTCTGGCCGTTGTGACCGCTTGGGGCGTGAACCATCGGACAGAAGATCTTCCCCTCTGCCTGTCCTCCTCTCTGTATATCTGCCTTTCCAATAAAAATAAATGAATCTTAAAAAAAAAAAAAACAAACACAGGCTGCCAAATAAGATGTAGGGCATGCTGTAATTTTAATTAAAAATAAAATAAAGGAGGAGGGAAGAACCCCCATACCTATAAAACTGTAAAAAAAGAAAAAAAAATAGAGGTAGTGCATGGTCTCATCTGTGTTTTGAGAATCTATAACATGTATGTTTGTATATGTTAATATATCTTTATCCATCCTGGATGTATAAGAGGATTACATTGTTAGCACTGCCGAATCCTTGAGAGTGAGAATGCAGTGTACAAAGGCAGGTGCATGGAAGGACTCCAACTTTGCGCTTTATGTTTCTGTACTGTTAAAGTTTTCATAGGTTGACAAAAACCACTGGACAAAAATTGCTAAGTGTATTCCTCACCCTCTGGAAGCCCGCCCAAGCATCTCACACAGTGCCCAGAAAGAGTTAACACAGAATCCCAGCTGTTTAAAGTGAGGACAATTTTCTGATTTTGAGATTGAGAGGTAGGTCTAGGGGAGAGAAGCAGTGAAGAGTGGAGATGGCAGGGGAGGACGGAGGCTCAGGGGCGGGCTTAGGTCTCACCCCACCAATAGCCTAAAGGTTTTGGGCCCAACGCCCATTTGTGGAACCTATTTCAGGAGCTGAGGTTTGTACGTGAGTGCACTGTGGCAGAGACTTGTCAAAGGGGAGTTCATGGAGGTTGGCTTCTCGGGGGCTGCTGCTTCGTGTAAGGTAAAAATCTCCAGCCTCAGCTGATGGGGAGTTGGTGACTGGGGAGCTCGCTTCTTTGTCTCTGATGTGTTGGCTTTTCCTACCCAAGGTTGTAAGTGCTCATGAATGGGGCTTTGCTTTTGCTAACAGCACTAATGCTGCATTTCTAACAGGCCAGGGTGATACTCCTGAGTGGTGAATTATTGGAGAGACTATTTGCTGTTTAGGCTCTGCCTGCCAAGTGTTTTGATTGCTGAGTGATTTAATGTCGTTCCTTCTTGGTTTTACTCAAAGCGTGGTTAGGCTTTTACAGTTGCATTGAGCACCTACGCATTCAACAGAACGCTGTCTGTGGGTATTGCAGAATGGGTTTTTGCTTCACTTTCCATATTAAAGTTCTGCTCCTTAACAAGGCTGCTTTATGAGAGAAGGCAAAAAAGAAAGAGTTTGGATAGGTACAACCCTCTTATATTTAGGTCCCAGTGTGGCACTCTGGATGATTCTATGCCCACAACATCACAGTGAGTGGTTTCTTTCTTCCCAGGTTTTCCCCGGGATGGACCCTTACACGATTCAGATGCACAGCAACAACCACCTCCCCTCGGTTGTAGATGTGCATGTCAACATTGGTGGGAGAAGCTCTGTGGCAGGCAAGAAGAAAGGCAGGAAGACCAGATGGTGTGTGAGGTCCTCGGACATGTCCAACAGAACCTTTAATCCCATCCGGGCCATCGTGGACAACATGAAGGTGAAGCCGAACCCCAGCAAAGCCATGATTTCCCTCTCAATTGGTGAGTTGGGGGTCACTCAGCGGAAGGTTAGCTGTAATCTTCCCTGTGGATGGGTTGAGAAGGTGGCAGCAGCAGGCAGACTGGAGTCTGAATACAGAGCCTAGGAGAATAACCTTTTGTGGTGCCTTCTGTTTTCTCTCTCCCATGAAAAGGAGATCCTACTGTGTTTGGAAACCTGCCCACAGACCCTGAAGTTACCCAAGCAATGAAAGATGCCTTGGATTCGGGGAAATATAATGGCTATGCCCCATCCATTGGTAAGCTGCTCCCAAGAATCCCTACTCAGTTATGTCTAAATCTTTGGCACATGTATAATAGGAAGAACCTTCTAGCAGTTGTCCTTGCTTCCTAAAGCATACACTGGAACAAAGGGAAGATGAAACACCTGTTTAGATTTGGCAAAACACGAGACATAGACCTGTCTTCTCCCCTGGCTCCCTTTAGCCTGCCAGCAGCTCCTTTCAAAGCTCCCTTCATCAAATAATGCTGCTTTGCTATGATTACTTATTCCAAGACAATGGTCTTGAGTCTGCAGCAGTCATTTGCTTAAGGAGTCTTCTCAGCCTTAGTGAATTGATGCACCGGGCTAGGCAGATAGCTGTGTTGGTGTATTTCTTTCTATACTGGAAGCCTATTTTTATTAAGATACTAATAACACTGAAATGTGATTGTTACTGCTTAGGATTAAAATGGATAAGAACAACAAAGAATGAGCTGACAGATTGAAGGGAAGAAATTATTTCTGATAGAAATGATTCCTATGTAGATTACACTCTCTCCGTCTACTGAAAATTTCTGCCCTGAAGATTTTGGTAAAGTATGTAATTCTGTGATTTAATTTCAGGGTTGCACATTTTTTTTCCTTAAAGATTTATTTATTTTTATTGGAAAGGTAGATTTACAGAGAGAAGGAGAGACAGAGAGAAACATCTTTTATCTGCTGGTTCACTCCCCAAGTAGCCGAACTGGCTGGGGCTAAGCTGAACTGAAGCTAGAAGCCAGGAGCTTCTTCCAGGTCTCCCACACGGGTGCAAGGCTTTGGGCCATCCTCGACTGCTCTCACAGGCTACAAGCAGGGAGCTGGATGGGAAGTGAAGTTGCTAGGACATGAAACTGGTGCCTATATGGGATTCCAGTGCTTGAAGGGGGAAGATAAGCCAACTGAACCATTGCACTGGGCCCAGGGTTGCACATTTTTGCTCTTTATATGTACATGTATATGTATAGAAACACATCTTAAAGTAGGATTCAAAGTGCAGTGTCACACTAACATCAAATTTTGGAAGTATTTCAAAGAGGTATGAGGAACATGGGCTTTAGATTGATTAGTTACATTTTATAAAGTTTGGTAACAAAATCAAGACCAAGTGTTAGGTTATAAAAAATCATCAATGATTCTAATAGCCAAAGTACGGAAGAACTGATTCAGTCTGAAATGTCATGACTGAATCTTCACCTGACATGTTCAAAGGGCATGACAAGTGTGACAACACATCTCTAGGGAAATATGCTTGATTAATAATTAAGGAAATGCTCATTATGTCATTTCAGGAGGCCAGCTGGCCCCTAACAAACATTGTGTAACAGCACCCCTGGTCTGGCTAACTGATCTTTTCTTTGGCCTTTATAATTTGTCTTTCTGAACAGCAGTTTTATAAAGTAAGTTTTGAAATTTCGGCAGCTTTCAATCTTCTAAGCTGCTGTTAATAAAGTTCTTACAGGAGAAAAGTTTGAAAGAAAATATGTATACAAAATAGTTAATGGTCATATAATGCAAAAAACCTTAAATTGGGTCACATGTATTGAGTGTATTTGATAAAACTACTTCAGAATCATGGAGTCTCTCAAAAAGACTAGGGAGCAGTCTAAATCCTTTACTATAGAGAATAAAACAAACCCAGTAATGAAGATGATCATTTGGGAAGTTCTTTCTCATTATTCTGCATATGTTTGTGTTGATGATACAGTTGTAAAGTACAGAGTATATAGCTAATCCTCTGTCTACGGTGGCTGAGAACAAAATGCAATAAGTTGTGCTGTGGGCAGGAATGAAGGTAGCTTGAAGCCCATGTTGACCTCCGTGGTGGACACAGCTCTCAGAGGAGGGGTGAAAGCCACCAGGATCCTTCACTCACTGTTTTTTTTTTCTTTTTCCTTCCAGGCTACCTATGCAGCCGGCAGGAGGTGGCTTCTTATTATCATTGCCCAGAGGCCCCTCTGGATGCTCAGGTGAGCCCTGGCAGACAACCCACTCCGAGGCACTTAGAGCAGCCATCCGTACTTTGCCTTGCTTCTGCTGCCAAGAGGGAGGGGCAGGGCAGGGGAATCAGGATTATTCCCCTTTTACCTTTGAAGTTGGGGCCATTGATCAGCATTTGTATTTGCTGTCATTCCTGTCTCCTCTAACTTACACGGTGTCCATCACAGGAACTTCAAAGGACCTAGATAGAGATCACCCTACCTTTGATTCACAGGAAAAGACAATTGAAAAGCGATTCATAAGTGCCAAATTATTAGAATGTAAACGTTAATGGTAGGATTTAAAAATTTTATTCTTGTAGCATTCTTTGTGTACCTTCATGTGACTCAGATGGAAGCCCCATAGCATACTGAATTAATGGTAGTGGCAAGTTTTAATGCCATGCTTCCCTCTATGGTCCACTTAGTGGAGTTGGCATTTCCTAATACCGGGAGTGTACCTCTTCTGTGTATCAGAGAAGAGCCAGGCTTCATGCCTCTGGCCAAAAGTGAACAAACAACCAGATGAGGAAAGTCCAAGGTCAATCCCAGCTCTCTCAGGGAATCTTTTGAGTCATTGTCAACCTGTCCTTTTTAGAGCAATTTATTCTTCCTTTAAGTGGCCAACATTGTCAGCAATATTTATATATATATATATGAAAATCTTTTTTTTGTTGTTGTTTAATAATGTCCCTATTATTGCACCTAGGGCTTGTCAGAGTAAATTCTTCATTGTTCCCAATTAACTTTTTTTTTTTTTTTTTTTTGGCAGGATGTCATTCTGACAAGTGGCTGCAGCCAGGCTATTGAACTCTGCTTAGCTGTGCTGGCCAATCCAGGGCAAAATATCCTGGTTCCAAGACCTGGTTTCTCTCTATACAGGACTTTGGCTGAATCTATGGGAATTGAAGTCAAACTCTATAATTTACTGGTAAGTGAATTAAATTTTAGATCCAACTGCCCAATTAGTATCACATAGTAATCTATGACCTCAGAAGAGAAAGGTCTGGAAGTGGATGGTTAAAGCCAAGGACACACTTTACTATTACGTTACACCTTGGGCTGAGAGAGTCTTCCCCATCCTTATACATGCTACATGCTTCAGAATCGTTTTAGTCTTGCTTATCTTCCTCCCCAGCCAGAGAAATCTTGGGAAATTGACCTGAAACAACTGGAGTCTCTGATTGATGAGAAGACAGCTTGTTTGATCATCAACAATCCGTCAAACCCCTGTGGGTCAGTGTTCTGTAAAAGTCATCTTCAAAAGATTCTGGCAGGTAAGTCTTGTAGTTTGCTCACAGGAGGTGAGGTGGAGACTGCATTGCTCAGCTCTTGCCTGGGATGGAGGTAGAGGAGTCGTACTTTCATCTCCAGGCCATTGTGTGCCATAGGAATGGTAGATCTTTCCTGTAAGAAGGTGAGCAAGAAGAAAGGCAGGTTGAACATTTACTGTATGAAAACATGGAATCTAAAATGCTTTAAAATCTGAAACTTTTTGTGCATCCCTAGACTTTTTGGATTTTTTTTTTAAATTTTCATGTACATTCAACCAGTAATGTTTGTACAGATATTTCAGTTTGAAAAAAAAATCCTACATCTACTACTTCCAGTCCCAAGCATTTCAGGTGAGGAATATTCAATCTATATATGCCTATTCACCATTCCCACTATGTGGAAGATTGGGTTTGAACTATCTGATTAATTCAAGGCACATTCAGTCTCCATAGGAATTTACGATTCTTAAAAAGACCCACAGGCATGCATTGCAAAGCACAGTAAGATCAGATGAGTCACATTAAAAATGATTTCAGTACGTTGCTCTTATTTCTAGTGGCCGCGAGGCAGTGTGTCCCCATCTTGGCTGATGAGATCTACGGTGACATGGTGAGTCTCGGTTGGGATGTATCACCACGCTAACCTCAGTCTCACATTAGTTCATGGAATCTCCAGAGGTGACCACCAGAACAATCAGAAGACACTCCTAACCCTTTTGATACAGTTCATCAGTATCTCTGTACTTGTATCAAATATTTAGACTACAATTCCTTACCTCATTTTTGAAATCCAGATTTCTGAATTTTGTTTAGTTGCAAAATCTTACTTGACCTTACATGAAGATATGTGTAGATTTTTACTTATTCCACTTTTGAATCTATATATTTGGTAAGACTGTAGAGAAAGTGACAGAATGTTAAGCTTCTTGATTAGGGGTACTGTTCCAGTATTCGTCACGAGTCATGCATGACAAAGCTTTTCCAAAATCTAAATAATTTGCTTTCTTCCCACAGTGTATTTGGGCTTGGGAGTTTTAAATAAAGAAATCTGGGTCCATATTTTACTTTTAACTGTTAGCCCCAGTGGTCACTAATTATAACGAGGCAGCTGCCCAGAGTTACATGTACTCCTGGGCTATTAAATATCTCTGATGGTCCTCTCTGAAACTCTTGCTACTCAATTGTGCTTCACTCTAGGCGCATAAGTCTGTAAAGACAAGGCATTGTCCCTAGTGATAAAAGGGAAAGGGTGGAAGACATGGGAGCCAGAGAAAAGAAAATGAGAACTACAGCAAGTATATCTTTTCTCATCAGGTGTTCTCACAATGCAAATATGAGCCACTGGCCACCCTCAGTACAAATGTTCCCATCCTGTCCTGTGGAGGACTGGCCAAGCGCTGGCTGGTTCCTGGCTGGAGGCTGGGCTGGATCCTCATTCATGACCGAGGAGGGGTTTTTGGCAATGAGGTGAGAATAATGTGGTGAAATCATATGTGCAACTTAAAATGTACAAGGACCTTTCAAAAAATCACGAAAATATACACTGTGGAGAAGCTATGCCCAGATGTAACATTTTTTGCACCAAGATAACTTATCTTTTACTTTGATTTTCCACAAACGTTTTGAATTATCCACCTATATTTACTTTGCAGGCATAGTGTTAAAAAGGTAGGATCTCTCTCTGCCTGTTTTCTTGGGCCAGTGGTTCCCAGTACCTGGAGACATGGGAATAAATGTGACAACAGTTAGTCATTTCCCAATCTCAGTTTTCATGTATTAAATTCTGTGAGGAAGTCCCATTCAGCTCTGGTGTCCAGAGTACCAAAAAAGGAAATAATAGCAGTGATGATTATTAGTGTTGTTTGAGGACTTATCATGTACCAGCGTTTTAAGAAATAATTTTAATTTAATCTTCATAAGCACTCTATGATCCCAGTCTTGGTATTGTCTCCTTTTCATTGTTGAAGCAAAGCACAGAGATGTAATATTATTTGTCTAGAGCCACACGGCAGGCATGTACAAGAGCTGGGCTATAGGCCCAGGTAGTCTGATTCCAATCAGTTGGCACTAGGTACTTGAGGTTGAAGCCTGTTAGAAAGCAAGGTTAAAACAAGAACCCCTGAAACAGGGTGCTTAAGACAGACTACTTAGTGTTTTCTGGCTGGCTTTTAGATTCGAGATGGACTGGTGAAACTGAGTCAGAGAATCTTGGGACCCTGCACCATTGTCCAGGGAGCTCTGAAAAGCATCTTGCATCGCACCCCTCAAGAGTTCTACCACAACACTCTGAGCTTCCTCAAGGTAAGGGCAGCACACGGCTGTCCTCTCTGGGAGTCAGGGAATGTTACCAGGATTAGGACTAACTGGTCCTCGTGTCTGGAGCAGTGTTCCAGTGTGGGGCTTCCAAATTAGAAGGTGTCATCAGTGTTAAGTCTGCAGCCACACCCTCCTTTCCCTCTGCTTTAGAACTTCAAGAATGGAGCCTTCTTTGATTGAGTCCTCCTTAACGCCAGAAGAGCAAACCCAGGCTCTGTGCCTTCAGAACCCAGGGCTATGCTTTAGAATAATGACTTTGCTTTTTCTTTTGTTTAAATTCTCATTCTTGGTTCCTCTTGATCTTTTGTAGTCCAATGCTGATCTTTGCTATAGGGCGCTGGCTGCCATCCCTGGACTCCAGCCAGTCCGTCCTTCTGGAGCCATGTACCTCATGGTGAGTATGGGGAAAGGGCAGGCACTAAGCATATGTGTGATGTAGAGCAAAAGCCACTGGGACTCTCTCAGCTGTCCATATAGGACAGTGCCATGTTCACATAGACATATAGTAGACCCCAAGTCAGGTGAGCAATATTCTTGCTCTGAATTGTCCATCTGATGCGATTTGACCTCAGTGTTCATGCATGACATTCTTTCCATAACTCAATTCCTCAGCCAAGAGAGTCATTTTCTGTGTAAACCCATATGACACAAGCAGGAGACTCACCACACCATTGTAGTTCTCAACTGGAAGATGATTCTGGCTCCTTTGGGGTATTGGGAATGTATGGAACTTTAGTTCTCAGGATAATCAGGGGAGAAGAGCTCTTGCAAGTAGGTCCAGAGGTGCTGAATAGCCTGCCATGGGTGGGCCAGTCCCCCACAGTGAAGAATTTCCTGGTCTCTTGAGAAATACTGGCTTGATTTCCCCTTTCACTTAGCAGCCTCCAGGAAGAACTCTTCAATAAGCTATGTATAAATATACCTGTTTCCCATGAATACTTGTATGCGTTGATCCTTAGCTGTTGGAAATAGAGTTCCCAGACATTTTTGAAAGTTGTTGTGACCTTTGTCTCTGGCCAAGGAAACTGGCCAGTTTCCCTCCTGCTGAGTTTGCCTCTCCTTCCTACTACTGGTGCAGGTTGGAATTGAGATGGAACATTTCCCAGAGTTTGAAAATGATGTGGAGTTCACAGAGCGGTTAGTTGCTGAGCAGTCCGTCCACTGCCTCCCGGCAACGGTGAGTACCATGTCTTCCTCAGGACCTTCCAAGTTCCTAGAGTCCCATGAATTACCCCTGAGCCAGTTATCAAAGCTTGACCTGCTCCTCCCTCTACAAAGTATATGCTCATTGGACAAGATTCAAGCAGATGTGTTTCCTGGCTTCTGCCTCCCATGATCCCATCTATACCTGGAGGAAGTTTGTACATAGACGTTTTAGGTGAAAGGAAATCAAGCTTGTCACACAGGTCCCCTTTTAGATGAAGTCACTTAGCGACTAACTGAGCACCCCAGTGATGGAGGTGGAATGAACAGACAGCCCAGCCAAGGTGGCATCAGTACTTCTTATTGACAAGGGCTCAGGTCAGTGGAGGGTATTCCAGTGCCAGATCCAGTCACTCTCAAAGTGACAGGCTCTTATTTTTGCAGTGTTTTGAGTATCCAAATTTCTTCCGAGTGGTCATCACAGTGCCTGAGGTGATGATGCTGGAAGCCTGCAGCCGGATCCAGGAGTTCTGTGAACAGCACTACCACTGTACTGAAGGGAGCCAGGAAGAGTGTGACAAATAGGTCCTCGTCCATTCTGCTGCGATGCATCCACCTGGGGCGGGCTGCACTGGACCCTGCTGGTCCTCCATCCTGGGAGGAAGGCCTCCCCAGCACCATGTCAAGAATTCTGGACGACTCCTGCTTTCCCCCAGTTACATCTCTCTGCTTCCCACCCTCTAACATCAAACCTGATTCTCCTTCTACTCTGCTCTGCTGAAGCCACACACCAGTTCACCATCTGCCTCCTCCCGTATGACTTCTTCCTTACAGTACCAGGTAGACAGAGGTTACCACAAAGCAGCTGAGAGCTGAAAAACCAGAGCTCAGGGGCTGGGGGAAAATGATGGAGAGAATATCTGCCTCCACCATTCCCTCACAACTCCGATCAAGAAGTCACAGCTCAGTCAGGTCTGAAGCCCAGCTCCCATCACAGAGCTCTATCTGGAAAGAAGCTGGAAAAGCTGGGCACATGTGTATTTGATTAATTATATTCTAAAAACTTGTTTAAAGGATCCCTCAAAGAAACAATTCAACTGATTTGGGGGGGGTAAAGAATTAATATGTGATGCAAATAAATAGCCTTTAATTGACTGAGTTCCTAAATTTAGATTTGTATGCATCAGGCCTCCTTCAAATGAGAGCCTATGCATTCCAAAGAACCTTGTAGAAATATTACTGGGGAAGGGCCTGAAATATCATCACTTGTCATTGTTACAGAATGATTACTACTTTTGCTGTAATATTAATATTGATTTATTAATATATATTATGTTTTCCTATGTTTTCTAAGAAACATTTATATTAACAAGATCCTTTATTTTGCCAAGGGCATAATAAATTATTGTTTTTTTTAAATAAATATACCAAATATACTCTTTTCATGTCATGGTTTTACTCCTCTGCAGGGCACTGCATTAGCAGCTAGGGTTCATGTATCTGACCTCTTGGAGTTTCTTAGATGCTATTCCTTTATTACAAATAAGCCAGAGGAGGCAGAGGCAGTGGAAGACAACTTCTGGACTTTGGCGTCCCAGTTCCAACTTCATGTGACTCCAGCCCCTGGTCCTAACCGTTTCTGCCTCCATCACCGGCACAAAGCAGAACCAGCTTTGCCAGCAGAAGTGTCCCAGCATTTGGGCTACAAATATCCCAGGCACAGTTGCTCTCATTCCCTCTGCATGTGGCTCCGTAACAGGAGCCCAAAGTCACCTTGAAGGCCAGAGGCCATCAGTCCCCGACGCCTCAGCAAAGAGCGTTCTCCCAAGAAGAGGAACCTTAGGTCCCGACCCTGCCAGTCACAATTTATTTTACAAAAACAAACTTCAAATGCCCCCTTCACCCTCAGCACACAATATAATCTACCTTTTAATGTTCAGCTATTCTGAAAATGAACATATCACTACTGAGATAACAATTCCAGTGTCCCCCAACGCCACCCTTGCCCAGAAATTCTTAAAATCTCCCCATACCTCTTTTCCCTGCCCCTCCCTCATGAGCCCCAACGTCTCCATTGGGAAACACACAGACTCCGATGTTTCCACAGGACTTTTTATTTTCCCTATGCTGATCACCATATCCAGGATTACTAATGGAACCCTCAGCACTCTTAAACGCCCAGTTGTCCCTGGGGCTCACATTTTGACATAGGAGGCAAATGAACATTTAAGATTTCTTGTTTCAGGCCCTTCAGCCTCGCAGGTGCTTGGCCAGGGAGTGACTTGGGTGTCAGCTGCGAGCTGATGTTAGCAGGGTCACTCCGAGCTGATGGAGGTGCGACTCGACCTCAGACAAACGAGCGTCGAGCAGCCGCACACAAGCCTTGCCCCTGATTTTTCTTTTTTAAAAGATTTATTTTTATTACTTTTTTAAAAAAGATTTATTTTTTATTATTTTTTTTTTATTGGAAAGGCGGATATGCAGAGAGGAGAGACAGAGAGGAAGATCTTCCGTCCGATGATTCACTCCCCAAGTGAGCGCAACGGGCCGATACTATGCCGATCCGAAGCCAGGAGCCTCTTCCGGGTCTCCCACGCAGGTGCAGGTTCCCAAAGCTTTGGGCCGTCCTCGACTGCTTTCCCAGGCCACAGGCAGGGAGCTGGAAGGGAAGCGGGGCTGCCGGGATAGAACCGGCGCCCATATGGGCTCCCGGGCGTGCAAGGCGAGGACCTTAACCACTGCGCTACCGCGCGGGACCCTGCCCCTGGTTTTTCTCTGATGACCGCCGATTGCCTCAGCCCGGCTGCCTCCCGGCAGAGCGAGCAACCCGACTCCAGGCCGGTGGCGTCTGCGCAGGTGCAGTACTCCTGGTGCGGCTCGGCGCGCAGGCGCAGTCATGGGACTACGGCAACAACGCTCGGCGCGCAGGCGCAGAACGAGAGCGGCCTTCGGGCGTCCGTTCTTGTAAGTAGGCCTCTTTTTTTTTGAGTTCTTCTTTCTGAGATTTGCTGAGCCAGCGTCTCTGCTCGGCCCTCGTGTTGTCGTCCAGTTGTCATCTTCCTTTGCCCCTTCCCTCTCCAGCCCCTCGGCTTGTGGGCCCCGTGAAGCAGAAGGGTTCCCTCAAGTTTCCAAGTCACCCCGGGCGTCGTAAGCCCCTCTGGGGAGAGAGGACTGCCAGTGGACACAGGCTTTTTGAGGAGGTGAAGAATTTGTTCTAAAATTGGTCATGGTGATGGTCGCAAAATTCTTGAATATAGGCAAACTGAGCTGAACACTAAGTGGTTGAGTGAGACGGCGAGTGGATCACGTCTCAGCAATGCAGCATTTCTTTGAAAGGCAGGAAGGCAGGCAGACACTGCCCATCTGCGTGCACCAGCTGGGGCTGGGTCAGGCCAAAGCCAGACGCTGGGAACTGAGTCTAGGTCTCCCCCGGGGTGGCAGGGACCCCCAGTCCTTGAGCTGTTTTCTCAGGGTGTGCCTTAGCTGGAACTTGGGGCTAGGAGTGCCTCTGAGACCCCCACTCCGAGTGGCAGCTGAGCAGCCAGGTCAGATGCTTTGCAATTTTTTTTTTTTAAGTGCAGAGGAATCATTTCAAGGAGACCAACTCAGCTATTTGATATTTAATATATATATATTTTTTTAATTTTTAAAGAGAAAAAAGCCTGTAAGATGATGTTCATTTTTTGCTAGTGAAAAATATCAATTCTACTTCACATGAAGGTAGTGTCAATATATTCTGGACACCAGCACTCTGAAAGTGAGGGGTAGCCCCCTCTTTCAAAATTAGGGAGTTTTATGCTCACAGGAGTGTCTTGGTGGGGGGACCAGGACAGGGTGGGTTGTCTCGTTGTTACTGGTTCATGTTGAGGCAAAAAGTGCCTGTTTGTCCTGACTCACACTTCACAGGGAAGCAGGGCCAAATATTCATGGGGTTTGTATACTGGCAAGAATATGGCATTTCTAGGAATACATCTTGAGAGAGTTCGGAAAGTAGAATTAGAACATCTGCTAGACTAGAGGTATTTCGATTCTCCTGTGCATCAGTGCTGTGACTCAGGAGTCCAGCTCCTGGGAGATGGAGTCTGGGTTTCAACAAGCGAAAGAATCTTAGGAACCTGGTGCAAGTTCATACTGCTGTGATGGCAGCAGTGGGCAAACGTGTTCAGGAACGTTAGTCGGTGATGGTAGGCTGGACTGCGATGAGGCGTCTGCACCCAATGATGTCACACAGCTACCCGCTTCTTAAATGAGTTTATACAGAACAGTGGCATGAAAAGAACCAGGCTATCGGGGTTGGGAACAGATGCCCAAGCTGATAAACCTGTTGATGACTGTGACGTTGGTTATCATGGATACACACGGATAAGGGAACATGGAGACAGGGGAACAAGGGTGCAAAGGTGTGGGAACTTGATAAACACCATCTTCCTCACAACTTCCTTGAAGTGTTTAGGAATTATTTTAAGCATTTATTTATTTTAGGGGGCAATACACTGGTTCAATTGGCTAATTCTGTGCCTGCAAGTGCCAGCACCCTATATGGGCACCAGTTCATGTCCCGGCTGCTCCACTTTCCAGCCAGCTCCCTGCTTGTGGCCTAGGAAAGCAGCAGAGGATGGCCTAAAGCCTTGGGACCCTCACCCATATGGGAGACCTAGAGGAGGCTCCTGGCTGCTGGCTTCAGATCAATTCAGCTCTGGCTGTTGTGCCATTTGTGAGTGAACCAGTGGATGAAAGATCTTTCTGTCTCTTCTGCTCTCTGTAAATATGCCTTTCCAATAAAAATAAATAGCTCTTTTTTTTTAAAAAAAAAGGTAAAACTTAAAGCTTTAAAGAGTGTGGATGTTTTTCTCCACTGAGCTGTGTTTCTAAAGTGCCTTTATTTTTATTGGAAAGGCAGATGTTAGAGAGAGAGGATAGAGGAGATCTTTGATCTGCTGGTTCACTCCCCAGATGGCCGTAATGACAAGAGCAGAGACCATCTGAAGTCGGGAGCCAGGACCTTCCTCCACGTCTCCCACATGGGTGTGGCATCCCAAGGACTTGGGCCGTTCTGGGCTGATTTCCCAGGCCAGAAACAGGGAACTGGATGGGAAATGGAGCAACTGAGACACAAACTGGTGCCCATATGGGATGCCAGTGCTACAGGGCAGAGGATTAGCCTGTGGTGCCACTGTGCCAGATTTTGAATTCTTGACTATGCAGTTTTAAAATGATTAACTGGAAACAAGAATATATCAATATTTGTAGGCTTGTCATACAGACTCAGTGATAATCATGCTTCTTGCTGCATTTGTTCTTTTCTCCTCTTTCTTTGCTGAGAGGTTATAAAGGATATTCTGGTGCCATCATCCCCACTCCACATCCACCCTGGTACACATCCTTCAAAACTTAACAGCTTACCCACAACACCACAGATGGTCAGAGAGCTTTGTTGGCTCCCAAATGTCTTTTTAAAAGTTGGTTTATCCATATCAAAATCCAGGGTTCTAAGGTTGTGTTTTTGACTCATGTCTCCTAGACTTAGGGGGATGTCAAACTAGAGACATCCTCCGCCTTTTCTTTCTATGTCACTGGTTTGTGGCGGAAACTTGATGTCCTGCACTCTGTCCTGCAGACCTCATACATCCATCGAGTGGCGCTTAGTGTCTGAGTGTGCGTTCTCAACAGGGATGATCCTGAAGCTGTCGCCCTTCCTGATAGTGTTTTTCTATCTTGTGTCCCTCCTCCCATTTCATGTTAATGCAATTCCCCCTTTTTTTTTTTTTTTGTACTTCAGGGTATTAATTTCTTTACTTACTGTTTTATTTGAAAGTCAGAGAAAGTGGGACAGATATTTTCCTTCTGCCCATTCCCTCCTCAAATCTCTCCATATCCAAGAGACTCTGACTCAGTCTTGTATTGTCATGTGTATGGCAAGGACCCAAGTACTTGAGCTGATATACAGGACATTTCAGTGTTGAATCAGCACCCTAACCTATGAGTCCTCTGGTCTGACTCAGACTGAGGAGCCGTAAATGGTAGCACATGATGGCCACCCACTCCCGGAGCCACACTTGTGTCCTTTGTCATCCTCCAGGGGACTGTGTTTCAGGAGTGTTACGTCTTCACGGGAAATCCACTCACCTGCTTGCCCTCCCACTTTCTCGCAGGCACCTGGACATCGTTAACCCTCTGAGTGCTCCTAACACATTGTCCTTGGCATTGCGCACCTGCTGGTGCAATACTGCCCCCACATTCTTGCCAGTGACCATGGCTTGTCAGTGTCCTGCAGCATCTGACCCTGAACCAACTGCATGTTTAGGTGTAAACGTAAGGGCCAGTGACGGCAGTGTTAGTGCATTTTGTGCTGCTCTCACCAAAGACCTGAGCAGGTTACCATATAAAGGAAGAGGCTTTGTTGAGATCACAGCTGGGGAGGCTGAAAATC